TATAATTGTGTGCATATCTATTGAGATGAACATATAAAATAAAACAATTTAGATTTAAAGAAACTAAACAGTAAACATAAAGCTAATCAAATCTTGATTAATTGGAAATTCAAATGATCAACAAGTATGCAATTGAGTATTTGTTTACAAATCAAGCATCATAATACAAAATAATCTCAATTCATCAAAAGACAAGTAGAAAACAAGGAAACATATTTTATTATTCTGCCAGATCATTGATAAAATACAGCAAGCATGTTGAGACATACCTCCTTGCATATAAATTTTGCCATTCCTGCATCCATCCTCATGGTAATATCCTCAATAGCCACCTGATAACTGCAAAGAAGAATTTGTTTGCACAATTTATCTGACGTTCTAGGACCAAAAATTTCAATATTTTTGTACAAAGGCAATAAAAAACTAAAAAAAACCCACAAATATATAAAATAGCCTTATTCGGTAATTTCGATTTTCAGATAGAAATTGAAGGAGAATACTCACAATACGTTTAGGCCTTGAAGTGCGCAGTGTCTGATCACTCACTGAATCATACCAAATGACAGAGACTGAGATCTCAAAGAAATGTAGCAACCCATGTGTTGTCCAAAGCGTTAGATCTATTGGATGATGGTGATATGGATGAGTTTACCATCACATGCCTAACCCCGAGTTCTTTTGCTATCGTGAGTACATTAATTATGCCTTCAATTGCTGGTGCCAATAGCTCATTCTCAGGATCTCAGACTTCATCAACTATGCAAAGAGAAGAGAGGTAGAAGACCCAGTTGTGCCAGCGATGGCAGTGTCAATGGAACCGTAGTTAAGGTTAAGGAGATCCATTTAGAGAAGCACGAGACGAGATCTAGGGCTGGCTGTGGCGGGAGTGGAGTGGAGTGGAGAATCTGGAGATAGAAGGCGAGATTGTGTGAGTTTAGGGCTTTTTTTCCATTTTATTTCGGTTTTTTTTAAGTGTAGGCGGGTCGGGTCGGGTTGGGTGGGTTGTATCGGGTTTTTTTATTTAACCCATAACCCGACCCAACCCGAACAGATTACGCAATCCAAAACCCGAAACCCACCTAAAAATAACTAAAAACCGACCCAAACTGGTCGGTTTAGGTCGGGTTTGGCGGGTTCGGGCGGGTTTTGCCCCGCCCTAACTGTCACGGTGTTTATTGATTCCCCATCTCCTCTATTTCTTTCGATCTGTTTAGTATCGTGTTGATGGTTAAGGTGAAGATGGCGTTGGCGGAGGTGACTGCTCTGATTAAGGGTTCCGAGATTTGTTTTGTGGGTGTGGTGGTTGTGGTAAGTTAATTGTTTTTCCATATTTTGGTGGTTTTGGGTTGTGGTGGTCGTACTGCAGGCAGTCATGCTGAGGTATCGACGGTGATGGTGGCACTGGAGGTAGCGGCGTTGGATTTGGTGTTGAATAGGTCAATCAAATTTTGTAGTTTTGGGGGGTTTTTTTGTTGGCGGTGGCGACCCAATCGCAGGGGACCTACTCGACTCAGGGGAGCAGTCCTGACTCTCGTGTGAGCTACGGTGGTTGCTACTGTCACGGTGTTTGTGAAGTGGTGAGGCTGTGTTGGCAACGTTTGTGATGGTGGTTGTGGTAAGTTGCCAGCTGTGGCAGCGACGGAGTATGGTTAGGGCATGTAAGACGGTGTGGTGGTGAGGTGGTGCTGTATAGTCTATGTGACCAATGTTGTGACTTGGGCTATGTGCTGTGACCTATGCTGTGACTATCAACAAAAACCTGAGCATTTGAAAATAACACGAGACTGTGAACAAAATCTTGACATGTACTGTGACCATTTGAAAATAACGTGGGACTATGAACAAAATCGTGAGCCATGTGCAATATGTTCTGTGACTTATGCTGTGACCATTTGAAAAAAATCTGTGACTATTAACAAAAATATGAGATATGAGCCTTATCGCATTATCAATCATTATAAACAAAAAACCATGCATTGTGATCTGTGACCTGGACTGTGACCTGGGTTGTGACTTGTGACCGGGCCTGTGACCTGGACTGTGACCTGGTTTGTGACTTGTGACCTGAGCTGTGACCGTACAAAAAATTCGTGTCCCCGGAATATTCGTCGAAATCGGAGCAGTTGCCGAAAACGGTCACCGGAATAATCGTCGGAATCGGAGCAGTCGCCGGAACGGTCGTCGGAGCGGTCGGGGTGGTGGGGGTGGGGGTGGGTTATATATAATATATATATTTCTATCTTTTTATATATTTATATATATATCATTATTTATTTATATATATATGATATATATTTGTATCTATATGTCAATCTCTGATTTCAGAAATTTGAAATATGTTTTGTCATTTTTGAAATAGCCCAAAGATAACATCTGATAACTGAATTTTTCCCCGATGTGGTAATTACATGAGGCCCTACTTTTCAAGTTTCAAATTCCAAAATCAGATTTGAAGTTTTAATGTTCAAAAATCAGATGTTTTATATATAGATACATGTTTTCTATATTTAATTAAATAATAATAATATTATAAAAATTAAATTATATCCAGCCCATCCCACAGCACCCACCTCGCGTTAGAATTAAAATTGAAATCCCTAATTCATTTCTGATTCAGATCTCCCTCACCACGTCTATCTCTCTCTCTCACTGCGCCGCCACCGCCTCCTCGCCGCTGCAACTCTTCTCTCTCTCATCGCCGCCCCCATCTCTAATTACTAGACTTTCAGGCTTCAGCAGAACTCCCTCCCCCCCATCTCTCTAGGTAGAACCTTCTGACAACGCCGGCACCATCGCCTTCTGACAACGCCAGCACCTTCGCCTTCGGACAACGCTGCGTGGTCTCCTACGGTCCTTCATTTCCCCACAGATTTCCCCTAGATCCCGGCATCATTGACGTTGTGAGTCGTCGAGTCATCGGAGGTGCGTGGCATCTGTTTATTAATTTCCCATCTCCTCTACTTCTACTGTCACGGTGTTTATTGATTCCCCATCTCCTCTATTTCTTTCGATCTGTTTAGTATCGTGTTGATGGTTAAGGTGAAGATGGCTTTGGCGGAGGTGACTGCTGTGATTAAGGGTTCCGAGATTTGTTTTGTGGGTGTGGTGGTTGTGGTAAGTTAATTGTTTTTCCATATTTTGGTGGTTTTGGGTTGTGGGGGTCGTACTGCAGGCAGTCGTGCTGAGGTATCAACGGTGATGGTGGCACTGGAGGTGGCGGCGTTGGATTTGGTGTTGAATAGGTCAATCAAATTTTGTAGTTTTGGGGGGTTTTTGTTGGCGGTGGCGACCCAGTCGCAGGGGACCTATTCACAATAAACATACTTGGTTACATGGGCTACCATAAAAAAAATCTGCACACATTGCAGACCAACACCATGTTGGAATCTTGTTGTTCAAAATCAAATAAGAAGATGAATGATGAAATAAGAAAAAACAAAACGTGCATAAATAATCTATGCGGCCACATAAACCAATTAGACTTGTGGTCGCATAGAAGGCTGTAAGGAATTTAGAGGCAGCCAAGGTTATAATTATGCGACGGCATGGTTATGGCCTATGAGGTCGCATAGTTATAAAAATATGACCGTTGATTGAGTTTTTTCGAATTTTTTTGTGATTGTTTAGCGAAGTATTGGACCTTTTGATTTGAATTTGGAACCACTTCGAAAAGGATGGTTGATACCAATATATATTCAATGTGCACATCAAATTAAACAATGATAATTTATATAATCAATTTTTTTTCTTTTTCCGCTTGTTCTATTGAAGATTCACTTTGCCTTTGTTGATCTTCATTAGGCTTGTTTAATTTTACAAATTATTTGCCATTAATCATTAAAAGTATGATAAGATGAGGCAAATATCGTTTGAGGACAATGATTTTATCTTCGTGTTTAGGCCTTTTTTGGATTTATATTCATCATTTTCTTGTTCTTTGTTGCTTCTCCATTACTGTATTTTTTTATTTTCATAACACACCACAATCCACTACCATTCACCACCACCATCCCTCCAATGCACCACCATCGCCACCACTACCTTTAACTCAAATTCACGACCATAAATACTATCTTCACCTCTAATCCATAAAAACAATCATTATCACTATCACTTTCGCCAACACCTTCAACAAACACCAACATGTACCGTTACACAACCAAATGTAGATCAACATAACTGCATATTTATACCACCCATAGATCTACACACCACAATCACAGCCACCATCGTGCTCCACTGCAACAGCTTCGATTGGGGCCAAAGCTTCACATTTCGATCCCAATGGGTAAATGTGTTAGCACCATCACCAGTTCAGCCACTCCAAATTCTCCCATTTTCAAATCCAACAGTAACAGTAAATCTCCACCATCCGTACAACCATTGCTAGAAGAGGAAACAATTAAAGAAACCCACCAGAAGTCAACGCCAAAGTTCAGGAACCGGTCGTTTTCTCACAAAATAAAGCAGGATAGAGTAGTGAAAAAATCTCCGGTGAGAATGCCCGAGTCATCAACAGATCGAGTCGGGTCTAGGAGGGAGGGTTCGATAACTGCAGTCTTCGTCGCTACACACACCGCTCGTCGTTACTTGTAGAAGCAGCGGCGTCACGAGCATCTTCGTCGCGGTCAGTATCTTGCATCCATCGCTGTGCTAGGGGGCAACGATCCGTGATACTTCGTCGCGCCAAAAGGGAGATGGTTGGGTAGGTGGGTGGTAGTAGAGAGAGAGAGAGAGAAGAGGTGGAAAAATATTTAGGGCATGTTCTCTTTATTGTTTTCAGGTCATTTTCATATTTCATATTTCAAAAACACTGAAAGCACATTTACTTACCTATTTTTAGAAACGATTCCAAAAATCGAGTTTAAAATTTACAAAGAAAACTGTTTTCATTTAAAACCAAGCTAAAACTTCAAAACGTGGAAAACGGCTAGATTTTGTCAATAATGGGATAGCTTAGTAGGAGAGTCACGAATTTTCTAAAGGTCACGAGTTCGATTTAATTTCACTGCAATTCTATACAAAGAAATTTTCTTTTTATATGTACAATACACAAATTTTCAAATAAATTGGTAGGTGGCTAAGATTCGAACCCGAGTCACGAGCACGGAATTTCAATGCATTAACCACAATGGCAACTGCTTTTGCTTTGCTATATAAGTAAAAGAACTATTTATATATATTGAATAATCAATTTTTCAAAACTAGAAAGTAAACGCATTTTTTATTTTTTTTATTTTTGAAAACAATTTTTCAAGGTGACAAAACAAAACGCGTTTTTAGCAATCTCAAAATGGACGCTCAAAACACAAAATCAAAAATGAATTCAAAATTCAAAAGTAAAAATTGAAACACGAAAAGAACAACCCCACAGGGTTTAGATTTGGGAATGAAATGGAGGTGGAGTGGGTGGTGGGTATGTAGATTAAGTTTAATTAATTTTTATTATTTATAATTATCAAAATCTAATTACCATCTAATTTGTGAAATGAAAATTAATCCCCCTTGTTTTTAAAAATGTCTTTGAATGTAGGTTTCTAGGTAAATTTCCCTAAAGTTAATGCATGTGGTGTCTTTGGGCTTCTAACATCCATAACATCAATCCCGAGGTTAGGCCTATTTTTAGATATAAATCGGTTGAATGTTATTATTGCTACTGTGTTTATCAACTAGTCTATGTGATAGTGATGATCACTAGATGTTGACGTTCCCAACAATTTATAACATTGCCTCGTCAACCACAAAAAAAGAGGAAATAATAATAATGCCAATTATACGAAATGTACTGAATTGGGTTTATTTTATAGGGTATAAATATTAGCTTGTTTTTGGCTCATGTTTATAATATTTTAATAAACCACTTTGGTTACTTTTTATCAATACATTTCAAAGTATCTATAAGTAGTGACAAAATTGAACCTCTCGAATCAAAATCACTAGAATTGGTGGCCTTGATCCGATTCCAAAAAAATTAAGAATCGGAATTGAGATTCGATCGAGTTGGGTCGATTCATAGTTCTTAAACCAGAATCATGGGTACTCGACTCTAGAATCGAATTTGTCATTTTTTTTTATTATAAATTTTTACTTTTTAAAATTTATTCTCATTGACCCAATGACCCAATGCAACAAGTAGCAAGTTTGTTAGATCCAAATAGTAAATATCTTAACGAATCGGATTCATTCATTTGAATAGTCGAATCACATTTGTTTATAGTCACTTTTGATATGTGTTGCCCAGTCCTATAAGCCCTTCTCGAGACACTGGAAATAGAGCCACATTTAAAATTGAATGCTATTGTGCTAAATATTTGATGCTATTTGGTGGCGTATTTGCATTGTATTAAGAAAGTGTTGAAATGTGTATTTGGTGACATGATTTATTTCTTTTATTTCAAGTAAATGTTGAAAAGATTATTTGTATTGTCATCTCCTTATTTTTTTCAAAAACGTTATGGGTAGGATAGAACCCAAACCTAAACCTTTAGTTCTGGGTTGGGTTTGGTTCCACTAATTACGTGGACCCTGATGATTTCATTTATGAAATACCCAAAGTATACTGGATGGTTCCAAATATTGAAATTTCTAGATCTACCACCCAACGCCCAAACCTATTCTAAACACTATTATGAATGCATAATGCATAAAACCAAATCATAGTTGACAATTATTCGTGAAAATGCTTATATTGTTATTTTGAAAATATTCATATAGGTTAATATTTTATGTAATTTTCTAATAATTATAACTTTAAGATAGAGAAAATAAGAGCGGAATTGCCATCCAACTGATCTCCTGAAAAATTTACGCCTTATGAGTAGTTATATTCAAACTCTTTTAGTAGTTACACTATATTTTAATTGCAGTTGAGATGCTCAATTTTTGCTCATTGTATCCCTTATGTCTCTAACTTTTCAATTACGTGTGCTATATCATCAACCTTACACTAATTAACATATCCATCCTTACATTAAGATTTTAAATCTATTTTAAATAGAGTAAGAGCATATCCAAAGAATCTGTGGATTTCTGGAAAAAAAAAATTGATACATAAGCAAAATGAACAGTATGTAAAAAGATTTATCTCTATTGCAATATAACAAGGACTATGTCAAACTGATGTGACCAAGAAAAAATATTGTTTAAAGCTCCGTCTATATTTAGAAGAACTGTTGGATATGTTAACTCAAGGCATATTTGTAAGTGAGCAGTAATTGATGTATTATTGTGCAATTAATTAAATAAAAGGAATTAAAAAAAAAAAAGGGAAAAGGAAAAAGACATGATTGACCCATTTATGTTGGAACCATATAACTGTCAAAAGTGAGTGGCTCTTCGTCGAACATGTTATAGTCTAAATACTCATAAGTCCCAGGCTGATCGTGAGAATTTTGAGGCCCTCTGCAAATAATTATTATGAGGTCCTTAAACAAAATCTTTTTACAAGCATAACAATGGCTAATGAAAATTATAATGAAACTTTAGAGACCAAATTGCTGTATAGGCAATAAATTACGAATCAATAGTGCAATATTTTATTATTTATTTTTTACCCCTAAAAACTTTTTCTCTCTTTCTTCATTAGGTGAGAAATTCGTTGCGGTATTTACTTTAACTCCCCATTTGCTTCCTTATTAGGTAAAATTACATTTCCTTTTCATTTCCACAGTTTTTACTTAATTGATTATCTCAATATATAACGAGGGAAATGATGAAACGATATTCCATTTGAAATTAATAAATGAAGTTCAGTAAACAATAGTTGTGAGATATTAATTTTTCATGTTGGAGTAGCATAGGAGTTTCGTTCAACATAACCATGCATTATTTGTTGAAACTTTCAAGATCTGCATAAAATCAAAATTTTATGCTTTGGAATGGTGAAAAATGCCTTTTCTTCACTTCTTTTTCATCTCCCTTTTTTGCTTTACTTTTTGTTGTCATTTTCCGGTGTTTACATGTTGCTGATAACCTGTAATGATATTTATCTCCACTGGAGTATTAGTTTAAGTGGCAACTGTATAACATTAAATGATAGATCTATTTAAATGCATTGCTACAAGATTCATTTAATTGAACATATTAGACGGTGATCTAAATGAATAGCATTACTCTTTTTCCAGTATGCTTTGGGTCATTTATTGCTCCATCAATCAACATGATTTTTATTTTTTCTGAGGCCTCTTAAGATTAGAGACCCCAAGCCATTGCCTTAGTGGCTTTGGTCCAAGAACGGGTCTAATTGATGTCCAATGGCTTTGATAGTCGTGGCCGAATCTATTGCTACTTGGTCCATTGAATATAACATAGCAAATGATAGTATAGGAATGCACATCAGGGAAAATATTGGGAAATATGGTCCAAAGAATCTCGAAAAAATTATATTTTCATGGGCTGACTTTAATATTATTTTTCTTTGATTTTTAAAGAATAAAATATACGTAGAAAGTATTATTGGATTGTAGATAGAATTCATGAATGTCGACTAAGGGCATAAGTATCTATTCATTGAACATCAATATCACGTAAATCGAAAATTCTTCAAATTACATGCCATCTAAAAGAGCCATCCATAAAACGACGAGCCAACATTTCTTTAATGTCGGCATTCATTTACTATTTATGGATATAACATGGCAAATGACGGTATAGGAATGAACATCAAGAAAAATATTAGAAAATATGGTCCAAAGAATCTCGAAAAAATTATATTTTCATAGGCTTATTTTAATATTATTTTTCTTTTATTTTTAAAGAATAAAATATACACAGATAGTATTATTGGATTGTAGATAGAATTCATGAATGTCGACTAAGAGCATAAGTATTTATTCATTGAACGTCAATATCACGTAAATCGAAAATCCTTCAAATTGCATGCCATCTAAAAGAGCCATCCATAAAACGACGAGCCAACATTTCTTGAATGTTAGCATTCATTTACTATTTATGGATATAACATAGAAAATGACGGTATAGGAATGAACATTAGGAAAAATATTAGAAAATATGGTCCGAAGAATCTCGAAAAAATTATATTTTCATAGGCCAATTTTAATATTATTTTTCTTTTATTTTTAAAGAATAAAATATACGTAGATAATATTATTGGATTGTAGATAGAATTCATGAATGTCGACTAAGGGCATAAGTATCTATTCATTGAACATCAAAATCACGTAAATTGAAAATCCTTCAAATTACATGCCATCTAAAAGAGACATCCATAAAACAACGAGCCAACATTTCTTTAATGTCGGCATTTGTTATGGATTTGGATTAAATAAAAGAGGAAATTACATGGAGGCAG